CCTCAACCCGAAGGTTCAAGATTGTTTCGCAACTAGATAAGGTTCTAGAGCCGCAAAACTCGTTTCGGAGTATTTATCCGCATATTCAAGATCGCCTCACTTCCATTCTGACGCAACATTACAATCAAGAAATGTCGACGTTGAAGGCAGCACTGGGCTCTGCGACCCCGGCTTTGACTCAGACCTCCAAGTTTCTGCCTAGCGCTCGAAATACTCAATAAGCGCACTTGATGCAAATCTGTCACCGATCCTACGAGGTGTAAATCGCGAACATGCGAAAGATGTGGGGCCAGCGGGCATCCATTCGCTTGGACCTCGCAACTATACCTTCTTCGACAGCGATTCTTCATCATCTGATACTGAACGCCAAGTGTCTGACATATCTTTACATACAGTACATCCGGACTTTCGGAAAGCGTAGAACCGACATCGCTGTTTGTTATTGCCGAGGAGGAGACATTACCATGCATGCTGCAATTCGGGTCATACGATCCATCGACCGGGAGAGGACGACAGCCATGGCATGATGTGTATGGCTTGTATTGACGCGTGTCAGTCACTTGAGACTTATGCCCTTCATCAGTATCATCGCCGATGGCTTATATGAAGTCCCCCAATACCTACCTCGATATCTTCATGCGATTTACGTCTGTTGATCTGGTCATGCATGCATTCTGATATGCTCGGGGACGACACCTAGATGCTGCCATAAGACTTACGCTCACGCCCTGTGCAACGAGATATCGCTCTGTATAGCATGACTGGGCACGCATACTGCAGAGCTATTATCATGCAGTCTGCTGGACGTAGTGCCAACCAGCAGAACGAACTGTTGGGCGCGTCAACCAATCAATGATATCCTACGACTCTCGCTAAGCCTTATGGTTTTTAGAAATTACAGACATATTGAGTATCAAACTTGCGAGCTTCAAGAACGTCTGGCTGCTGTGTGGCCTCGCTCCTGACATCGTGATGGACTTGGCGCCAAGCATTCAAAGAGTCCACGTGACCGCGCGGCGGCCGGAAACATCGACGTGCGCGACCTCGGGACCCAATGATCCATCGAGAACCTCGCGCGCAACAGACCCCGACTACCTTCACCCCAGCAAAACTCGCTCCCCCATAAACATGCTCGACATTGAGGACTTCGACGCGGTATATCGCAATCTTCACTACAACGATGGCCTTGTTCAAGAGATCCAATCATACCGGACTGCGCTCGGTGGGCGCACCTTCTTCGAACGGTTACTGACACTCCTAAACATCAAGGGTAAGTCGCGCACAGTGTTGGGCCTCGCCAAATGCTAATTGGGTACAGGAAGCAAGATGTACCCGCCCAAAAGCTCACAACAGCTTCAAGAGCTCCATCAGCGCATAATCTCCTCCAACACAACACTACACAACAAGCACTGTCTTGTGTTCTACCTACTCAAAGATTTATCGGCGCAACACCACGAAGCGACAGAGCTAGCTGAATCGTTCGCGAAAGACGTACACCTCGAGAAGCGATTCTGGACATTCGTTGAAGGACTCTGGTTCCTCGACCACCTCCAATTCGCGACCGCCGTCGGACACCTTACATACCCCGGCATAATACCTACCTTTCCCGACGAGATCATGTACACCCTCTTGACGGGGCAGGATAAAGTGAGCAGCATGGGCATGGCAAGGGATCCAAAAGATGATATACTGGCACTAGCATACTACAACTGTGTACGGCCGCCGCTGGAGGATCAGAAGACCAGGGACGAGTTCGCCAAATACCTTGCAGGTCGCAATGTTACGGAGATGTACCAGTGGATTCACAGCAGACCGGAGTACGAGCAGCGACCACTGCTAGAGATCCTCGTTGAGCAGACGCTGGATCACCAACCTTGGTCTCAGGACCCCGAACACGAGATGTACACGCGAGACGCTAAGGCGTTTGAGCTGGCGGGCTTGCCGTTCAGTGAAGACGAAGAGGAGTTCATCGAGAAGTTCCTGACCGAGGGCAGGGGCAGGACCTTCCAGAGCGCACAAGATCTGGTCATGATGCGCAGGATTGCTACCGGCAAGCTGGCTGATGTTGCGTCTGATATGGGCACACGCGGACGCAGGATAGATGGTGTAAACTGGGAGAGTTTGAAGGACGGTGTGAAGAGAGGACTAGGGCCAAGAAAGGATGAGCAGAGCTTCGCTGTCTAAGACGAACAGTCTGCGGAAGAAGTTTCTCATGTCTTACCTGGTATCTAATGCATAGCGAAGGCGTCTTGGTACAAATTCAACGCGGTGCTTTAGCCTGGCACACCTGTCTCTGATCGTCTCACCAATTGCTCAACAGGAAGCTACATCTCCCATTCACGGCGCCTCGCTCGAAACACTACTCAGTCATCACTAGTATCTTGTGTTCTCCAGTGTTAGCTACGGCGCCACGGCTGACCAGTGTTGATTCTTGAAGTCCGCGCTACTCGGCAGCTGAATACCACTAGTGTTGGTGCTCACTACTCAGCTGCTTGCGTTCATCGGAATGTACTCCTCGTTCCATACTTTAACGTCATTCAAGGATATTGTTACATTAAAATGGTATGTGATGACGCGGAAAGTACATCGGATAACACTATGGAGCGGAGGTCTCAAAAGAAAAACACGATGCAAAAGCGAGCGCAACATCAATACACATATGAACTCCCAGCTGATCTTGGCGTGTTCGCTCCACTCCCCATTGGGCTCGAGCCTGGACTCAAGCCACCTCTTCGCCTGTCAGCCCCGAAGAACCTTTCCAGCTCTCCCGCCGGCCCGAGTACATCCTGATAATAGCTACTTTCGATGCTCTTCTCCGCCATAACATCATTGTCTTGCAGTACATTAAGGCAGAAAAACACCATGTTTCCCAATAACATGTTGCTCCTCAACTCGACCTGCGATGCGACATCGTGAGCACTGACCTCCTCGCCATCGTTGATGTACAAGCGTGTCTTATGGGTCGCCGTGTCAAGATCAATGTACGAAAATGGTGATTTGAGCGCTATCTCGGCGAGGACGAGTCCGATGCGGAAGATTTGGATGTGCTTGGAGAGATCGCGATCATCTCTCCTTTGGCGATTCATTTGGTAGCATTGGTTCAGGGTACGTGTTGTCATCGAGGAGCCAGGCGCTGCGGTCAGCATGCTAGCCCACTTCCCATCCTTCGTTCTCCGCCAACGTACATTCGAGCAGTCGAGGAATGACAACCATTGGCTTCCTATCAATCGGAAACAGCCTTGGGCGATGCCAGTCGCTATCGCATTCTGGTCTTGAGAGTATAGCGTTTGTGAGCCGAGGTAGACATTCTGATCGCGAATCACACTCGATAGGGCTTCCTTGTACTGCAAGTCAGAGAGAAGGTTTGTTGGTGGATTCTTGACCGTGAAGCCTGCTGATGTTGACAAAGGAGGTATCATGTAGCAGTCATCCTGCGTCCTGTTCATGAGACTTGACACAGCAGTAGCGAAATTCTTCGGCACCAAAGCTGGTTCGTAGATAGTCTTAAGGGTCACAGGATGGACGATGATCTCATGGCTTGCCCCATTCATGTTGAGCAAGAACGCGAAGTCGCGCTTATGAATGCGAGGGATGGATAACCCGAGATGTAGTCGATTGTTCGGGCTGGAGTCGCTGCATCGATGTAATCGCTCAGCATCTTTTTGGGCGCGAACAGCGTCCAGAACCCTGCTCTGTATCGTATCCGTCCTTCCGTCTCCGACTTTGATTATCACTCGCCGTCCAGGGAGTCGCTTGACTTCCGAGAAGATCTCTGCGTGCTCTCGCTCGAGGTAAAAGTCGGTAAAACGTTCGAGCATGGTAAGCTTTTGATACAATCGCCTGAGACGCTCTTCTAGATCGTTCGCTTTTCCAAGGACGCTCAACTCGAATCTGCGCGACCATGTGGTGTTGTGGCGAATTCTCCAAAGGCACTCCTTGACCCGATCCTCGTTACTCAAGTGCTGAGTTTCTCCATAATATCCTCTCCTGGACTCGAAATTAAGAGCAAGGCCCCTGACTCGTTTGATGTCGGTCTTGATACTTCCGGTGATCACATTCACAGTACCGATTGTGGCTGTAATCCTTTCGTGCCCTTCTTTTCCAAACAGGATCCTGGTGTGAACATCGGGTCGATGCACTTGGATGTCGTATTTCTGTTGCCAGCTGTCTAGAGATAGTTTCGCAAAGTCAAGCCCTTCCTTGATGTCGAAGAGTCGTTCGGATAGTCGTCTCCATTGTCTGATTTCAAGGGCAAAGGTATGTAGAGCCTGTCCTGCTGTATAGAGGCCAGAGATAACGCCAAGAACTTCAGCCATGGCTCGTCCAGCTGGAGTGTTGGGTCGCGTTGAAGATGCGGTTGATATGTATCTTCTATGACGCTAAGGAGCAGTAAACTCGCGTGCGGCACAGTCGGGAAAACTTTGAGTCGTGTAACAGCAACAGCTGCCGAGCGCAGGAACTGTATGGTGCAATTTCGTGTAAGATGTAGTGCGAGTCCAGGATATCAGCGCGGTCGGATGGGGGCTGGGCCATCTTTTCAAGGCGGCGGCCTGATGTATTTTCGACATTAAATGGGCGGCCTCATGACCCACGAACTATTGCGGCTGAACAGATGCGAACATCAGCTCGCCGGCATTGGTGTGGGGTATTGAGGTGACATTGGTCGGAATTGGCTCCATGCATAGCGGCACAGGGGTGACGTTACCGTTTGGTGGTGCTCAGCCCCCAACGGCCCCCAAAGGCGTCTGAAGTCAGCTGCCTGATCAGGCAATTGGGTCGCACTGTTCTTATGAGCGTGGCGTTCCTACATCTTTTCATTTCCGTTGAGTTCTCGACCCCACTGACAAATTTCTCTTGACACTGGGTGCAGTACCGGACAGAACGTTCCATGCATACCACAGCAGCAGGTTTCTTCGCTATAGACACATACCTGCCTTTGTTCGTACCACGTAAAAAGCTGTTGATCATCTCCATTCCTCCATTCGTTGCGACTCCGTGCGATGGCGACCATCTCAACCGACTTCCTAGAAGTCGACGAACGTCATAGGAATCCCAGTCATACTCGGTCGCGCTCAGGAGGCTACGTTGATACCATAGAAGAAAAGGCGAGATGGGATCGAAGGAGTCGCGAACAAGAAATGAAACGCTATCATGACAGTCGGCATGGTACAGCCTCATCTCCACGAATTGCTAACTCTCCTACAACGCCTGACCGACTCGGCGTCCCCGTCTTCGAAACTACTGGGAGGATGCGATCGAGTTCAGAAGCTGGTCAAAGGGACAGAAGGTCAGAACGACGGTACAACACTCAGGAGGTCCGGCCCAGCGCGATACCAGTTTCTGGCTACGATTTGACCAACGAGCCAGTCCTGTCAAGTCAACTACCTGTAAGGTACGAAGGCAAGCCGCAGCACCAGAAGAAACCAAGCATCAAAGTGGAAATCCACCAGGACAATCCGCCATTGCCCACAAACGGTCAGGCTTTTAGGGCGAAGCGAAGCCCGAGCGCTAGCCCAAGATCACCCACTGCACGACCCGAGCTTCAGTACCAGTATGCGACGCTACAAAACAAACTGGACCAGATCAGTAGCACGTGTTCTCCATACATGGATGTTGAGGCTGCGGAACCTCAAGATCTCACGTTCGACAAGATAGTAGAACACACTAAAGCTTTTGCTTTCGATCTGCAAGTGTGGGCTCATCTTGCGAATCTCGACGGTATGGCTAAGGTAGACCCGCGTAAGAGAGAAGTCGTGGACGCCGCATCGCGGAGCCTAGACCGCCTGTTGTATCTGGTGGCAGCATTGAACGACGCTTGCTCCCAGGCCAAGCCAAGGGACCTGAAGTTCAAGAAGCTTCCTGAGATCGACGACGAGACGTTATTCGAGGACGGAGATGACGACAGGTATGTGCTTTCGAGACGTCGACGGAAACTTCTCTGACTTAGAATATCAGCGGTGAACCAGACCCTACAGAAACCTTAAGCTTCATCATTCATTCCAGCCTAGACGCCATTGAGCTGCAAATCCAGAATCTGAAGAGACTGAGTCGAACATTGCAAGAGGCCACACCGGATGCAAAAGATGAGGTCGTGGCAGTCGCGAAGCTCGTAACGGAAACCGTGAAGTACTTCGGCTCGGAAGAGGCACTACATCGCTATGGGATCAATGAGAAGATCTCTGGGAGGAGAGGTTTGGAAGAAGCAAGGTACACGAATTCGCATTAGCCGGGTGAAGTTCAGGAGTGTGGTAAACATGATGGAGACCAAGTAGCGTTTCGTCCAGGCTGATAATGAAATTGAGGTACATTTTGACGCGTCTCGTTAACGCGTCAAGTTGGTGACAAGGGATGGAAACGCGCGCGTTGGTGTGGCTGCCGCCGCGAGCCGCTCTAGCGTCGGCTTCACGACCGGAAGCTTGGGGGCATGACGTAGCGCATCAACATCTAGAACAGTGTGCCAATGCAACCAAGGCAACTTGATTTGATACAGGAAATGTACTTAAGGTTCTTTCCAATTTTAGATGCGCTGGTTAACGTGCGAACTGAATCTCAGTCATGCTGGGATTCCATCTCGCGACATGTCGCTTATCCGCCCAGTTCTACGAGGCCCGGCTCCGCCGCTGACAGTAGAAACCATGAGCACGGTCTCGTATGGCCAAACATTCACAAATCCGACACGGTCGTCGCTACATCAAATCAAATACACGTTCACTCGTGGAAGGTACTCGTCGCACATTCAGTTTCAAAATAAGAGTATATTGCGGTCTTCTAAAGATGCAAAAGAGAAAAGATATTTACAGCGCAGCAAAAGGAATGACTGCGAAGCTCTGACGACATGCCAGAACCGAAAATGAAATGTGCGTCACCCCAGATGAGAAAGGCTCAAGCCATCACCACAAAAGGCTACAACTACCATTTACGAGCACTTGGTAACGCTGGGTACGTTGGAGCACTTGTCGTAGGTCTTGCCGCCAGTTACGGAAACATCTGTCCAGGTCCAGCCAGTGCAGGAACCCTTTCCGCAGGTAACGACGACGTCGTAGCCGCTGCTGGAGACATCACCAGTGACGTTGTCGAGCGTCAAACCGGTGATGGGGACGCCAGTATCAGCGTCACCGTGGAGGTCACCACCGTCGTAGTTCTGTTCAATGAGGACGCCATACTTGGAAATCTCAGACAGGGTAATGTCTTCGTAGGTGACCTTGTTGATCTTGCCGGTCGTGCCAGCGCGAGCCTTAACGCGGACGCCGTTGACGGACTTGGTGATCTCGGAGTTCGAGAAGGTAACCGTATCGACCGTGTTGTCGTCACGACCACCGACAGAGCCGATGGAGAGACCGTGTCCACCAGAGCAGAGGCCGTTCTTGAAGGTGATATCCTATCCGTATTGTTAGCGGGTGTCATTATCTCAACCGCCAGGGGATACATACGGTACCAGAGTTCACGGCAACACAATCATCCTGGTTGTAAACCTTTGCACCGTCGATGATGACGTTGCTGCTCGAGCCAATGTCGAAACCGTCCGTGTTGTGACCTTGCTCGTCCTTGTCGCCTTCCGAGGCATCGATGGTCATGTCGGTAATGGTGAGACCGTCACATCCGTTGATACTGACTACTTGAACGGGAGGGTTCTTGATGGTAATGCCAGTGATGGAGGAGTCGGTGAGCTTGTGTGCGGAGAAGAACTTGGGCTTCGTCTTTCCGCCGTTTCCACCCTCACCGTCCCACCAACGAGCGCCGTCACCATCGAGGACGGATCCCTCGGCACCCTTGACAGTGATTTTGGTTCCACGAATGTCAAGTAGAGGTCTGAGAGTTGGTTCATGAAGTCAGTGCGTGTCTCATACATTTGTACTGGGATATTGCTTACCCTTTCCACTCTTTGTAGCCCCAAGTGGTGGTACCCTCGAAGATGACGGTGGTATCGTCAGCCAAGCTGGAGAGGTCCAGAGTAGTGCCTGAAGGAACAGCAACGTCCGAGAGGACCATGGTAGCACATGATGACTGCGACTTAGAAGCCTCAGCAGCTCCGTTGGAGCCCGAAAAGGTGCAGCTGGAGGCACGTTTCACGACTTCGGGCTTGGGTGCAGGAGTGATGGCCGGGGCTGGGGCTGCCACAGCGGACGCCGCCAGCGACGTGAAGAAGATACCAAGAGTCAAGGCGACCATTGTGAAAGATGCTTGATTTGAAGAAAGGCTTAAAAGAGCGAGTGAAGTGCTTGGTTGCTTGGCCTACATGCTTGGTACGCCACACATATATACGAATTCCTAGTAACGATACACACGAGTGAATGACTTGGCCACCAGCCAATTACTGATACATCGAATCTACATTTGACGGGATCATAATTTCCCGATTCAAGATTCTCCATACTGACAGATGAGGGATTGTTTCGAGATCCTCCACCAAGTGGGGAGCAAGAGGAAGAGATGAGAAGGACTTGGTCGCTCGAAGCAACGCTTGTTCAGTGCGTGGGTGTGGTCAGGGGAGATTTGTTTCGGAAAATCCTCCAATGAGTGGGACCCGCCCGATTTCCACTTTTCCAAGCCTGTCGTTCGAAGGCACCCTCGTGAACATGTCAATGCATAGCCAGAGTTGCGTGACAAGCCTCGGAAAGAACGGAAACTAAAAGGCTTGACTCTGCTCCAGCCCACTTCAGCGCAGTGGTGTGGGAAAGCTCTCTTCCATCGTGTGAAGTAGCGTACCGGAAATGGCTAGTACGTCCACCGGCCATAGATTGGGAATCTGCGTTATTCCCAGCCACCTCACGACGTCTCCTGACAACACTATACGTGTTTACTGAACACCAGCATAGGGTGCAAATTACATGTCTTGTTCTTCCATGACGTCCACATAGTTCCTCCCTTCCCGTTGTGGTAACCTTCCCGCTGGCGCAAGCTTCCTTCACGCGCCCTCGGCATCTCGGGCAAATGACGTTCCACCCGCCTCCGCAAACGCCACACATCTGGGGTCGCTAGTACCTTGCATATTACCCCGCTGAGCATTTCTTCCATGGCAAACATTATACCGTCAATGAGATCGTTCCGCGACGCGCAGGTCCGGATGGCGATCTCTGGCCGCGGCTGAAGTCCACGGGCTAGTTGCACGCGAGATCGAGAGCTATGTCGTAGAGCAAAAGTCGCGTCGCGTCTCATGAACTTTTCTTCATCACCGAGGAAGTCAAGATGCGGTTCTTTCATCTGTTTGCTGTCGCGATCTCGCTGTTCTTTGGTGTATTGGCGACCGATAATGGCCTGCAAACGGATGTGGAGTGGGATAATGGATCGCTCATGATTAATGGCGAGCGCGTCATGATCATGAGTGGAGAATTCCGTACGTTGATGATTTGAGATGAATGAAGGGTAAATGAGATGAGTGCTAACTCAACTTTCGCATCTACCAGACTATGCTCGCCTCCCAGTACCTGAGCTATGGCTCGACGTCTTCCAGAAGTTCAAGGCGAATGGCATGAACGCCGTTTCAATTTACTTCTTCTGGTCGTACCATTCGGCATCGAAAGGCGCATACGACTTCACAACACCGGGGAAAGATATCCAGCGCCTGTTTGATATGGCCAAGGAAGCCGGACTTTACGTCATCGCACGACCAGGTCCATACTGTAACGCGGAGACAAATGGAGGTGGCTTCGCTCTATGGACCAGCGACGGAAGTGGTGGCAAGTACAGAACTTCGGATGAGACATACAGACAAGCCTGGTCGGAATGGATAGCGGAAGTTGGCGAGATCATCGCAAAGAACCAGATCACCAACGGCGGACCTGTCATCCTAGCGCAAGTCGAAAACGAACTGCAACAAACCCGTTACGAAGCCAACAACACACTGGTCATCTACATGGAACAGTTGAAGTCCGCCTTTAAAGACGCAGGTATCGTCGTACCTTTGTCACACAACGAGAAGGGCTTCAGGTCGAAGAGTTGGTCCACTGACTACAACAATGTTGGCGGCGCGATCAACGTTTACGGTCTGGACAGTTACCCTGGCGGCATGAGCTGCACAAACCTCGACACTGGATTCAACCTACCCAGAACTTACTACCAGTGGTTTCAGGAGGTCTCCCCTACTCAACCAGAGTATCTGCCCGAATTCGAAGGTGGATGGTTCCAGCCATGGGGTGGCTACTTCTTCGACCAGTGCTTGGCCGAACAGAGTCCGGAGTTTGCAGACGTCTTTTACAAGGGCTTGATCGGACAGCGAGCTAGCCTTCTAAACTTGTACATGGCATACGGCGGCACGAACTGGGGCCATTCTGCAGCTCCTGTTGTGTACACTAGTTACGACTACGACGCGCCGCTACGCGAGACCCGAGAAGTCCGCGACAAGTTCAAGCAGTACAAACTTCTCGCACTCTTCACCCGTGTTAGTAAGGGTCTTCACAACACGTTTATGGAGAACAACGGCACAGCAAACGCAGTCGACAACTCTGCAATCTGGACCTGGCAGCTCAAGAGCCGCGATACGGATGGTAGATTCTATCTTGCCGAGAACAACAACACGCGCACCCGTGCTGTGACCGATTTCTCAATGACAGTCAAGACGTCTGAAGGCGATGTCAACATTCCGAGCATGCAGCTTGCGGGCCGTCAGAGTCGATGGGTGGTTACCGACTACGCTGTGGGTGACGAAACGCTGCTCTACTCGTCAGCTGAGATTGCTACCTACGGCCTGTTTGATCGACCCGTCCTCGTGCTCTACACCCGCGAAGGCCAGACAGGAGAGTTCGCATTCAAATCGCAGGGTAACGTAACGTTCAAGGCATACGGTGCGGAGTCAGACCTTGCGAGTAAGCCGGCCAATGGCACCTACTCAAGCTTCTCGTACACTCAAAGCAAGGGTGCGACAGTCGTTGAGTTCTCCAACGGCGTTCTTGCTTATATGCTTGATATACCGACTGCATGGACCTTCTTTGCGCCATCAACGACAGATGACCCCAACGTCACACCCGACCACCAGATCTTCGTGCTCGGGCCATATCTCGTCCGCTCTGCCAGTGCATCAGATGGCACAGTTTCCGTTGTTGGCGACAATGCGAATGCGACGACTATCGAGGTATATGCTGGCTCTGATGCGGAAACGATATCCTGGAATGGCAAGCAGCTCGCTACGACGAAGACTCCCTATGGTTCTCTCACTGCGAAGATCGCTGGAACCGCAGAACGCGAGATCACTCTTCCAGAGCTTGCCAACTTCAAAGCTGCTGAATCTTC